TCAAAGTCGAGCTACGAGCGCTCATTCGACGAAGCATGCATTGTCGTGCGAAGGCTTGCGCCCAGGGGCCGTTCCGAGATGAGGCGGCGCTGCAGAAGCATATGAAAGGCAAACATATCCGCCCCTTTGTTTGCATCTTCAATTTTGCTGGCTGTTCATCGAGTTTTCCCCAGTAAGAATGAGTGGAAGCGTCACGTTGTTACACAGCACCTGGCCCTGAGCTTTTGGCACTGCAAACAAGACGCCTGCGAGAGCTGCACCAACCCGTCCCCCCCTTCTCAGCAGGCTTCCCCTGCCACGGACACCCCTTCGCTGCTGCCTCGTGGTGCCATCTTCAACCGCAAAGATCTCTACACCCAGCATGTGCGCCGCATGCATGTCCCCCCTCCCATCGCCAAGGCTCTGCGCCTGAGAAAACCGACCCCTGAGTGGGACGATCGTCTGCGCGAGATGCAGACTGAAGCAGAGCGACGACGATGCGAACTTCCGACACACATGCAGTGCCCTGCAGCCGGCTGCGACATGGTATTCTCGGGGGCGAATGCCTGGGATGAGCGCATGGAGCACGTCGCCAAGCACCTTGAGAAGGCCTCTGAGGGCCGTGAGCCGATGCTCTCATTCGGGGGTGATGAAGATCCTACCCTCACCAATTGGGCGGCGAGTCCCGAGGTCGGCGTCGTGCGCAAGACGGACGCTGGTGACTGGGAGCTGATGCACCCCCTCCGAGGGCAGTCCGCCTCTGCCAGCGGTGTTGCGAAGAGAGGCGCGAAGGGTCACTCATCATCTAGTCCACAAGCAGCCAGGTATGAGGAGGAGTTGGCGGATGATGTTGATGCCGACGGCGAAGAAGACTGATGACGCACGAATTATACCTTGACGGCCTTTGTCTTGCGCGTATACTGGTCACGATTTTATGGCTTATGGGCGTTTTTGGGGCAAAGTATGATATCCCTGATGCTTTCGGAGGCTGCTATGCAAGGAGCGTCTGTCTCTATCTCTCTCTCTCACACGTTTTCATGATTGGGTGATCTGCTTTTGCTGTTTTCTCTTCCTCCTATTCTTTCTCCTCATACACGCTACTGCGTTTTCCTTCGAGAGAATACAAAGTGTCACAGAGACATGTTTAGACCGGGCATGTCCATTGCATTTTCCAGTGTCAATCATCATTATGAAAATTCTCAGTCACACAACCTGCCTCGGTGCAGTGGCCACCTGCCAGTTGCTGGCCTGGGCAGCTGGTCTCCTCGTCTCAGCCACGAATAGAGACGCCGAGATTAGCAACACTCTCTGTGCCTGCCCACGAGCGCCATGAGGCTAGAGGAAAGAAATGTCCGGCGAATATCCTGTGTGTGATCGTGATGATCAGCATTATTGGCGGCTTCTCCGGCCGACGTGGGGTGCCCGGCGCTATGGAGGTGCGTTGGTCGGTGGCGCTGTCCGATGTGCTGGAGGGCGCCGAAATGAGGGCCAGTGGATTGTAGCGAGAAAGCGAGGGTGCTCGGATGGCGGAAGACGGCGATGCGAAATCCCTGGGGGACAGGGGAGAACCCTTCAAGGAGAGAAAGAGGAGCGAAAGGAGGGGGGTGGGGGGGGGGGGGGTGTATGTTGCTGGGCCAAGAAAGAGGGTGGTCATCTATGGAGCGGGGTCTCTTGCCTTATCATGCTTTAGTTAACCGGTGACTGCCGGGTTCTCTTTCGGTTATAAGAGCTGAACTATTTGTCTTG